CGCGGAAAGAGACACCCTTTTTGTGGAAGCTGCCACACTTTCTCAGTCTTCTGATGGCCCAGCAAATATATATTGACACATCTTCCGCGTAGTCCCAGAAAACTTCATGCCGTTGAAGGGATGATCTGAATTTGAGGTTTAAAGGAATCTTCCGACAACCCGACTGCCACTTAATCATCTGACCTGTTGGGACATTTTGCTTGGCAACCGCTACCAGACTGGGAGCGCAAGAGTGATCAAACCCCAAACACGTTGCTAGTTGTTAGCAGGGCGTGAAGGAACGGAAGCGCAAATTGACACAACTACGCTGTTGCGAGTTGTATGGTAGTTTCCCGAAGTAAGGGCACCCCATTAGAACCCCAAAAATACTACCTTCCACATTCTAGGGACCCCCCAAAAAAGTACCCCTAATCCTGGGAAACCCCAATCCCTAAGCCCTGAACCCCCACCTAGAGGCTGCTACAGGGATCCTTTCCCCCAGTCCTTACCGAAGACCAGGCCAGTAAGACAACAGCCAGGATTCTGGGGCGTCGGCCAAGAGCTTCTTCAGCGCAGACGCAGAGGTCTTGATAAGGATCAAATTAAGGTTTGTAGGTTAAGGGTTTGAGATTTGGGGTGTGGCGTTCAGGGTTGGGGGTTTCCGTTTAGGCATCAAGTTTTATGGTAGAACTCGGCTTGAACTATCAAGGCCAGTCGGCAACTCTTCGCTGACGAAGATTTCTTCGAAGCATGCACCCGCTTGCTGTGCAAGAGGTCCTGGGCTTGAATTCCGTGTTATTGTTTTAGGGCTTTGCTTTTTCCGGTATTGTACAGTCTTTCTCATTACGACAGGAGGATGTTCTAGTACCTCTTTTTCTTTCGCTCTCTGAAAGGTCGTAATGACGGCTTTACCATTTTGTGCCATGCTGCATGTCATGGGTTTAGGAATATAAGTCAGCGATTTGTTGTGGCTTTGAATTTGGTAAGTGGATGTAGGGTTGCCTCGGCAAATTAGTTAGCTGTTATAGTTGATGCCCCTTTGGGGTCCCACCTCAAACCATTTGAGGCACCCTGCAGTTGGTTTTTTCCAACTGTCCTGTATGGAGAAGTTCCCTTGCTTGTACGCTTTTTGGGGGGTCCACCGAGCTCTACCGATTTAATTTTCCAGAATATAGTGTTGGCCATACCATGGCTGCACCCTCATGTTCAATCAGCCTCTCAATGTTGTATTGTCAAAGTATGGTCCTTTCTTTGGTCCTCTTTACAACGCTCCATATGCACCCTCAACTTCGGCTACCCAACAGGGCCTTCGTTTTTGACAGCGCCCCAACCCAGACCCTGAACTCGAGCGGGTACCAACGTGCCCAAAGGCTCGACAGAATGCACCCCATCAATCTGACCTACTTCGTGTGGACCTACGTTCGCGCAGGACGGCTTCGTCTGTGTAGGGGGTTCAGGGGTTGTAGGGTTATATGTATGTTCCGAGGAGCTGACTTTGGGCATCAACTGGTGCAGAAACCTAGGAAGGCTGCGATACGATAGCATGATGATCCTGCAGATGGTCGGGACAAATACTCCAAATAAAGGGGGGGGGATCAGTTGATACCTCGACAGCTCTTCAGGAGTCGTGCACAAGGAGCTTCTTCACGCAGTGGCGGAGCACCTGTGCAAAGGCTGCAGGGGGTAAGCGCGTAGGGAGTTGGGAAGCGTCCGCGGGGACAACTGTTGGCCTTTTGGCCCAAGATTCCAGTTGCAGTCTGAGATAACTTTAGGCTGTCACCTCACAAGGTAACGAAACCCGTTTTGTCCGCAAGAAGGCGGTACAATAAGCATGGGATTGGAATCGGAACTTTGAGCTGGTTGCCTGCACTCAGCACCAGGTACCTGCACTTTGCACAAACTAAACCAGGTGAGAAACGACTTCGCCTAAAACTGCACATTGCAAGAAAAACGCATCCTGTATCGGGAGGTAGATTGGGCTATTACACAGACTGTAGAGTTCGTGGAGCCAATTCTTCTACCCTTGATGAATGACACACATTTCGCTAAAATTCCGCTGGCCCGGGTAGGCCAGGTGCAGGAGGAGGAACTCTGAGAGGGGCCGGGGGGGGGGGGGGGGNNCAGATGTCGTGCTTGCTTTCGTTGTTATGTTGCGTAGTGTAAGCAGCAAACTGTTCACCATGATCCCCGCAGACCCGCAGATCATGCCAGATACCAAAGCAGCCAACCCTACCTTGCTGAAACTCTAAAGTCCGAAAGCCCTAACCTCCTGAAACCCTGAACTCTTAAAAGGCTATAGCTCCTAAAAACCTTCAGCTCGGGGGCGAGTTCAGGCTTACCTTACACGGTCGAGGTTCTAGGGGGTGAGTACTCGCATGCGAGCGGAGCCTAAAAGCGCCCGTACAGCGTGGGTTCTAGGGAAATAGGGTCTTTTCACGCAGACGGTCCTGTCGCATGTTGCCTATAGAGAGCCCTGTCCCCATCACGGGAACACAACAATCCACAGAATTAGAGATCTCAGCCCCCATGTTTGAAATCATCCGTGCTAGGTGCGGCCCTCTTGTATTTCCACATTAGGGTTCCTTTAGGGGTATGGGTTTCCTTATTGATTTGCAAGAAGGCTCCAGGTAACAATAGCATAGCGAGTTGACGCACATTCAGTGCCTGATTGTCGAATTTCCTGTGGCCGAGCTCTTTTTGCTGGGGTTTTACTCGATGTTAGCCCTCCAACGCTTCAAGAGTTCAATGCAGCAGCTAACAGCTAAACTTCAAGTTAGAGCTATAAGGCTACCGAGTTTTGCACGAGGTTGGCTGCCTACGCTGGACCGGTGTTCCCTGGGTGGGGAGCTGAGCAAAGGAGTTGTGCTTCCCTTCCTTTTTGAAACCTAAGCCCTGGACCGAAACTGGGCAGAGGTATTGTGACGGCTAGAAAGGGTGTGTGTGTGTGTGTGTGTGTGTGGGGGGGTGGGGGTTGCTTAAATATAGAATCTCTTCCCCAAACCTGCCTGGGATTAGTGTCAGGGCAGGGCGTACAGTAACAGGTTGAAGTACACAGAAGCCAAGCTGCGAAACACCCATGCGTGCATGTTTTGAACATATTATCGACACCATCAGCAACTTCATCCTTTCCACAAGTACTTGCTTTTTCTTTGACTGGTCCCGTCGGTGAGTATTGAAGGCGTAGCTTAAGCCGCCCCACCACTCGGCACGAATTCTTTCTTGCACTCCTAGCCTGCCCTGGGCGCCCCAAGCCGTTTCTCAGTGGGTGCAAGTGTTCAATGCCCGGGTAGTTCGGCTTTTGGTAGTGACTGTGATACAGATTTGGGGAGCATCTGATTGTTAGGTGCTTGGAATGGTGGTGCCCCCAAGTTACAAAACTCTATTCATTAATCCCCAAGCTGTAGCTCGTAAGGCTGCTAACCACGCTTATCCCCGACATAGGGTTGCCTATAACCCCTATCATAACTTTGGGGCCCTTCCTGCAAATGCGTTAAAGAGGCACCATGCTGTGGAACTTCTCCAAGCTGGAGTTTCGGCACGACCGATTCTTTGAGCTCTCAGCGCAGGTTTGCATACATGCGCATATCTCAAGATTGGGCGCGGGGCATTTTTTGCAGGATTGTACTGGAGGGATCATATGGAATCTCCGTGCTTGGCACGCAAGATGTCATGGTTGTCTTAAGTTGACCTTCTTGCTTCTGCTTGTGTCCTTGGCAACACGAATCTTCTTCGTCTGCGCCTGCACAGGAACCTAAACTCTAATCCTATGGGTTCTCGAATCCCCTCTAGGTTTGCCCCAAGGCCACTGCGGGCATTCCAAATCCTGGACAGCAAAACATCTTCACGCAATTGTTTGCTTCACGGGTGAGTAGTTCCTTCTGACCTTCCTAGCTATAGAGTTGATGCATGCTAAGGTCAAGGTATGAAAGGCATCGGTGTGGTAGAAGGGGTTTCCGTGAGCGTAGGACGTAGGATATGTCGGAACCTGTGGCTTGTTCATAAGTACAGGAGGGGCGTGATGGAAGGCATCCCAATTTGGGTTACCCATGTTCTTAGATAGCACTTTGACAAGTTCGCAGCGTTTGCAACAAATCTTTATCCCTCAAGCTGCTGTGCGGACGGTGAGGCGTGAACCCTTGGGTTTATGGGCCTTGAATAGAACGCATTTCGAAAGAAGAGCAGATGCTGTAAAGCCATAGCCATGACGAGCCGAAGTTGGATGTGTTTCCGTTGTTCATTTCCCACTTCGTGGGCAGGTCTCGCACCTGAAATACAGCAGCTTCCGGGCATCTCAGCACGTTGTTAGTAGGGAGCGAAGGATTGTAACAGACTACCACCTTAGAGGCTGGTTCCCATGGTTCCATGCCATAACTTATGTGGGCGGTTGTCAAAATCATGGGCCTTTTTTGGGATCCCTATTATAATACGGCACCTAATATTTACCCAGCGGGTGCGTTTGCAGGCGCTTTTTTTCGTATGCTCTCGAAACACGAACGTTATTATGGTTTGGGCATGGATGCTCTAGTCATCGACTTCGC